CTGCTGCTGTTGCTGTTGCTGCTGCTGCTGCTGCTGCTGCTGCTGGCAGCTTCAGCTAGAGGGCCCGATAGACAGACCTCAACAACTCTCCCTAGGAGAAGCGGAAGCTGCTGCAGCAGCTGCTGCTGTTGCTGCAGTTGCTGCTGCTGCTGCTGCTGCTGCTGCTGCTGTGCAGCCGTGGCTATGCCTTCGATGTTATAAGTCCCAGCAGCAGCAAACTGCCGCAGAGTTGCTGCTGCAGCAGCAGCAACGCTTTGTGCTGCAGCAGGAGTATCTGCAGCAGCAGCAGGAAGCCGCAGCAGAGTATCTAGGCAGCAGCAAACTGCTGATGCTCGCCGATGGAGCTGCTGCAGCACCTGCACTAGCTGCTGCTGCTGCTGCTGCTGCTGCTGTTCATGCTGCTGCTGCTGCTGCTGCTGCTGCTCCTCACGCAGCTTCAATGCGGCGCTGCAGACGACTCGGGCTAGCTGCTGCTCGGCGTGCTGCAGTTGCTGCTGCTGCTGCTGCAGCAAACATATCTGCTGCTTCAGAGCTCTAAGCCGCGCCTTCTGTTCTCGCTGCTGCTGCTGCTGCTGCTGCTGCTGTTGCTGCTGCTGCTGCTGCTGCTGCTGCTGCTCGAGTTCCTGTAGACAGTGGAGAAAGGCCGAGCGCCTGCTGCAGCAAAGCGCAGACACAACAGCAGCAGCAGCAGCAAGCTGCTCAGCATGAAGGCTATCAGCAGCACGCAGCAGCAGCAGCGGCAGCTGCAGCAGCACAGCCAACGAAGGACGCCGCTGCTGCAGCTGCTGCTGCAGGAACGGAAGCACAGCAGCAGCAGGCAAATCTCTCAGCTGCTCCACTTGCTGCTGCAGCTGCAGAGCCTCAATACTTCTTTTGCTGCTGCTGCTGCTGCTGCTGCTGATGCTTCTTATGTTGCTGCTGCTGCTGTTGCTAAGCGTTCTGTCTGCAATCCGTTGGTACTGTTCTGCTGCTGTTGCTGTGGTTGCTGCTGCTGCCGCTGCTGCTGCTGCTGCCGGATGCCCGGCGGCTGCTGCTCTTGCTGGCTGTGCCTTTCCAGCAGCAGCTGCTGCGGTTGCTGCTGCTGCTGCTGCTGTTGCTGCTGTTGTGCTGCATCTCCGCTGCAG